TTAAAAAAAACAATAATCTGGCTGACTGACATGCAATTAGAGAGATTTTATCAGCAGTTGACGAACACACACAAAAGATAAAGTAAAAACAAGATTAAAAGACTAAATATGAATGTTGTTTTTAATAAAATATCTTATGGTACTAGAAAATAACGATTAACATAACTTCACGCCTTTTATCCTCGAAGGGGTAGGCAGAGGTGTACATTACGGCACTTAATGCCACTGTACAATGTAACACCCACTTTTCACTATTTATGTCATGAGTCCCATGTAATAGGGGGTGAGCGTATTGCCATACACCGGGTACAGCTCCAGACTCCGTGCTACTACTGAGAATTTAAAAAACCCAGTGGTGCTTTGCCCGACCCGGGAATTGATCCCGAGGCCCCTTGCCCGGCAGTCACACTTGCGACCACTCGGCCAACGAGGTAATAACGATTATTTTTCTAAAACAGCATTCAATATATTTAATGTGCTCAGTGAAGTCCAAAATTTTGATAAAGAATTTCACGTTTCTGGTAATTAGTTCGTTTGATATGAAACCAGTCTAAAGCAGTACAACTGAAATATATTTTGAAAACGTACATTAATGATGAGAAAGCTTAAAATTATGAGAAATATTATTTATATCAGCTTTGTGTCGGTCTGATTCAAACGATCGCTTCTACTGCCTTGTTGGCCGAGTGGTAGCAAGTGCGAGTGCCGAGGCAAGGGGTCCTGAGTTCTATTCCCGGGTCGGGCAAAAATATTACTGGGTTCTTGTGCCCGGTGTATGGCAATAAGCATCATATCATATATTGACATAAATAGTGAAAATTGGGTGTTACAGTGTACTGACATTAAGTGTCGTAATGTGCACCTCTGTCAACCCCTTTGGGTATAAAAAGGCGTGATGTTATGTTGTGTTATATGTTTCAACTGGACGTTTTGATTCCTGGATCACTTAAACAACTGTTCAAATTGGCATTTTTGGCCATCTCGATCTTAATCCTACTAAACAATCTCGCCCAAAAATTGTCGATATCTTAATAATTCTTTCTTACGTTGTTGGCTTGGACAGTTGAAACGGACTGTGTTTAGTCAGGAATATGTTACAAGAATATGTACCGATTCACTTACGTTTCTTGAAGTAACGGCATTGATCTGAAACAGAAACAATTTCATTGTCAACTTGCTAGTTCAAACATACTTTGATTAGAAGATGCTACTGCGATTGATGTATCAATTTGGCCATAACATAACATCATGCCTTTTTATCCCCGAAGGGGTAGGCAGAGGTGCACATTTCGGCACTTAATTCCACTGTAGAATGTAACACCCACTGCTCACTATCTATGTTATGAGTCCCATGTAATAGGGGGTGAGCCTATTGCCATATACCGGGCATATTTCCAGACTCCGTGCGATTTTTAAAAACCCAGTAATACTTTGCCCGACCCGGGAATCGAACCCGAGACCACTCGGCCAACGAGGCAGTCACTCGGCCGACGAGGCAGTGTATTAATTTGTCCACTATTTTGTAATAACACGTGATAATAAAAGTTTTAAGTACTTTATCTATTTAGACCAAAAGAAAGTGGTAGTCGTTATCACTAAGCACCTAAGGACATAATTATGACTTTTTTTTAAGGGGGGAAAATCATCGAATGACTGCTCCTGCCTGGGTGAGGCGGGAGGGAGTGTCAGACTCTTACTGACTAAAAACCACCCCGTTCCTTCTCCTGCACGTCGAGCTGCAGCCCCGGTTACCCGTTAGGTTCTCCGCGATTATGACTTACAGCTATAATTCAGGCGCCATACACCTCAATATTCATTATCAAAATTTGCATTACACATTAGCATGCATTTCTTCAAATACTCAAAATGAAAATTCAATGTTTATCATATCACTTACATATTAATAGTACATTGTGTGGTGTATAAAATAAAATGTTTTTGACAATTAACTTCATTCGGTGCTGAAGTCCCAAGTACGAGTGCCACCATGGGGGATATAAAGATTTTAGTTTTGGTATGTACCTATTTACACTTTTTTGTTAATAATACTTTAAGTGGGTATTAATTAGATGAATTGATGGGTGTAAAATGAACGGATTTGAGTAATATTTAGCACAGCAAGTCATAACATACATAACATCACGCCTTTTTATCCCCGAAGGAAGGCAGAGGTGCACATTATGTCACTGTACAATGTAACACTTAATTTTCACTATTTATGTTATGAGTCCCATGTAATAGGGGGTGAGCCTATTGTCATATACTGGGCACAATTCCAGACTCCATGCTACTACTGAGAATTTTTTAAAAACACAGTAATGACCCAACCCGGGAATCGAACTCGAGACCCCTTGCCCGGCAGTCGCACTTGCGACAACTCGGCTGACTAGGCAATCTGGAATAGTATAGGCTTTTTGGATCCCGGATAGACGTAGTACTCCTTTCTGAATGTGATCTCTTACATCAATAAAATTGCAAGAAGCAGTTTGCTATATGCTGATAGTCAATATAAAATTGCTTACAACTTATGACTTGTAGTTGAGGTTGTGACCTGAACTAATAATTTAATTGAGATTACACATGGGAAGGTGCAAAGAGACAAGAATCAATCATTAATCTTATTGTGGAATATCGAAGTGACAGCAGATAACGTAAAGGACTGATCTGTAGAGAATGTATAAGGCATTTGCCTTGTGTAGGTAGCTGAATAAATTAAACTTATGTCACCACTTCTGCTCTTAATGTAGATATCTAAACGGTTTTTCTTCAGAGGGATGCCAATCAACCAATGATTTCTCTCGCCCAGGGAGTTTCAGATTCTTACTGACTAAAAACCACCCCGTTCCTACTCCTGCACTTCAAACCGGAGCCCCGGCAACCCGTTAAGAT